ATGTTCCCCCATGTACGTCATCGCGTGACCACGCCCACAACCGGAAGTGATTTTGACAAAATGGCTGCAAGGCAAGAAATTGCATCTTTTGACCCAAGATTTAGTATGGAAACAGTACTTTTTGATAATTTTACTTATTTTTCCTATGATTTTTTCATTATTACCAACTTATTTCTGCGAAAAAAGTTTTTGGGTTGAGTTACCCTTTAATAATGCAACCAGCTTAATTACTGCATGCAACATACCAGACTGTAGCTTTTTATTTTAGTTTTTACCTCAAATGTTGCAGTCCTGCTATGCCCTTGTGGCATACTAACTTCTCTTGTCTATATAAATGAAATTCTAAAATCATTCAGCTATGATTTTTTAAAGCCCAATATAACATAAGGTAAAGCCCATTGGCAACATGCACTATATAGGCAATTCGTTGCCAACTAGAGCATCTTTACAAGCAACTTGTTGCCAAATTTGCTTATGCATGTTGGCTATATATGCACAATAAAGCTTAGATAATTTATTTGATATTAATACAAACTCAGTAAGACAAAATTAGTACTCCCAAACTTAACTATAAAAATGACGTGTATATGCATGCAGCTATTATATAAACTACTGTATAATACCAATGTGGTCGGAAGGGTATCCTTAGCAGTTTTAATGATCGAAGACCTTTCTTGAGAATTCCCACTCTATATCCATAAAATTAATTTAGAACATATGTAAATTAATAATACATACTGAAATCAGTCCTTCATTAGAATTGTCTTCTATTTGTGAGTCTGCATGGATATGATAATATACCGGTACAATAATTTTAATTAATGTTAGTTACAAAATTGAAGTTAAAAAATAATTTACATGCATTAACACTTTGCCCGGCACCTCACCTTTCTCTTCTTGTGGCAATTCAATTACAGTAATTCCTTTATCCTTTAGCTTCTTCAATATCACAGGATCCGTGAGATCTCTCATGACATCATCAAAAACACATGGTAGTATAGCATAGGTGACGATAACACATTTCTTTCGTAATTGTTTGAGAAATGCATCTTCTGACCATGAGAATTCACCAAAGGTTGATACCCAGGTATAAACACAAGTGGGTAACCAAGGCTTCTCAAAATGGAAAGAAATGTATGGCAAGCCAAGAGGAGCAGTAGGGGATGAGTCAGATTGTTCATTAAATAAAGGTATCAAATCTTGAAAGGAAGTTGAGGCCAATAGCTTGGCATATTCTTTTTCATAACCAAAAAAATGCTTCTTAATCTCTTTATCATTTTTGACAAGTACAGCTAGTTTTTTTAAGAGCTTGTAATTAAGGTAGCCAATGAAGTCATGATTGCTTCGAAAATCAAAAAAGCTTTCAAAATCATTTGCTTTCTCAAGAATATCAATGCAGGGCACCAAATTAGAAACAACACAAGCTTTTCTCTTCAAACACTCTTTTATCAACCTCTTGGCATCCTTTACATCAATGCAGTGATCTTCAAGCGATTTTTTGACAGCAATAACAAGGATATCATATTTATCCTGCAATGCAGTAGCAATGTTTCTCAACTTAGAAACTTTATCAATTTCTTGCTCAAGATCACGAACACCTATAAAAATATTTATTTATCAACAAGGCATAGAGCTTACTGTTACAACATATCTCTTCTTACCTGGATTAACAATGGCTGACTGTGTTGAGTTCTCTATTAAAAAATAAAATATTCGTTGTTTCAGTCATTATCAAATAATCAGCTCTTTTTTTGTATAATATGTGAGTGAGATTCAAAATATTATGACCAGACTAGATTCAAGATTAATTTGTAATGGCCCGGTATAAAATTGTAGAGATGGGTAAATCCAGAAATTTGCAATTGATTTCAATTCCAAGTACTTTTGGGGCTGGAATTGATGGAATCAAATACCAATTCCGAGTAATACATCTGCGCATGCACAAAAATACGTGTTATCTATTACAGCACTAAAAATGCAATAATAATGAATAATTAATGTAGTGAATACTGATTTATTAACTATTATTAATATTAAAGGGTGTGATTGGGTGGGGCTTAATTTGGAATTGTTTCAAACAGTTCCGACTTCTCTTTTGATGTAAGTATGATTTCATTTGGAATCAAAGGACAAATATTCCAGACTCGGAATTACCCATCACTATAAAATAGTTCATGGCCACCATTGTGGAAGCATACATGTATAAGCCAACAAGAACTTAGTAGTCTCAGGGCCAGACCCTTCAGCCCTGCGGGGAAAGGTCTGGTAAACTGAACATCATGCAGTCATTCAAGTACTACCAGAAGTTACATGTAGGTAGTGTCTTATCAAAAAAAACATGTGACCTCTACTTTATTCATGACTTTTATAATAAATTTAAATTATTAATAAAACTTTGTTCTGTACGTATACATGCATGATGCATCATAAAACAAGACACAGTTGGTACATTGGCCTTGCTACATGAAAAAGGTGACTTTTTGTTTAAAATAATGCTTTGTTACTTACATGTATTTGTATTCTAAGCCTGTTCTACAGCAAAAAAACTGAAAAAACCAACTACCACATACCATATGAGTACAAATTTTCAATAATACTGTATGGCTGAAAACTTTTGAGGGCATTAAACTTTTGCAAATTCGCCCACAATTAATTTAATTTTTGTGAATCAAAAGCATTTTGCCATTTCGTACCGTAACATCAAAATTTTTTGCATATTTTAATTTTGCAAATCTGACAAAAACTGTGAAAACAACAAAAGTTATTGGCCTTGAAAGTTTTCAGCTATACAGAATAAAAAAAGCTCTTCATTCGTTCAAGAGCAGCTTTTCATGCAGCCTGCACGTACATAAATTATACACGAGTGCTGTGCATGTGCACTGAGTATTTCCAAAGTATTAACTTTGTGACCTACATATGTACAAAGTCCACAAAATTAAACTACCCTACAATGGTCACAGTAGTCTCCACTGATCCACACAAATTATGACAAGGCCAATGACAAAATCTTACCTTTACTGGTGGTTGTGGGGATAGTTTGGGAAGATGGATGACAGAGCATTTCACTTCTAGATATAGCCTTAGAGACAGCTGATGGGAATTAACACATGACGAAAATTATGATTTTTCACTCACTTTGTCTTTCTTCATTAATACCGTCAGCTACAGCATTCTCTCCTATTCCAGGCTCTAAGAGCAGCTATCAGTGTATCTATTGTTGGAGTCTCCACATCATCAGTTTTACGCAACCAGCTAGCCAAACACTCTGTGAAACAAGGATCAACTTCTCCATGGTCTTTCTTTATTTTCTCTAGTGTATTGTGAGACAAATTAAGACGAAGGCCAAGTCTAGTCAGGCGTGGCCTGACCCTTGCGAAAACGGAGGGTCAGGAACCTCGTGTATACCAGACTTGTTTTCAACTACTATGGCTTCGGGTGGAGCTGCAGCTGCTGTAGCAGCCTATGTCATCATAATGAATAATTAATAGCTAATTATTGTTTAATAATAAAAACAAAAATAATTATAATTATACATAAAGAAACAATGACGACTTGTAAGACTGTCAGCTGTGGAAGCAACATCACTTCCCAGGCTAACAATCGTTACAGTTCGTTTAGCAGATCTAATTTGGTGTTTTCAACATGGAGAGAACTGAGGCGGCATATATGGCCAGGTTTGAGGAGCTTCCTATAGATGAGACTTCTCATGACATCCTATTATAACTGCTCTGATGAATTTATAGTATCTGGAAGAATATGCAAATGCAGAGAAAGGATACCAAGAAGACTAGCTAGAGCACCAACATCCATTTTCAATTAATATTATTAATGATTATTAACGGTTACATAGTCATAGCAAGTCACAATGCGTCACTGCAGAATTTCTGCAGCAGCTAACAAGACTGGTATATACGAGGTTCCTGACCCTCCGTTTTCGCAAGGGTCAGGCCACGCCTGACTAGGCCAAGTCGATGATATGATGTCTTGCTGTAGTGATGTCTCTCAAGTAATGCAATCACTTCATCGAGATCACTAATATCTGTAGTAATCACATATGATTAAAAACCTTATAAGTTATAACAAGTCATGCCATCACTCACTTAAGGTTCTTCCAATTTGATGTATCCTTCCTGAAATTGTAGAAGAGTCGGCCATCTTAAAGGTGGGAGTTGCAATCAAAAACAACGAAAGATCTAATTAAGGCGCATCTGTCAAAATTCCTGTAATCCTTACAATAGATATGTCCTTACCTTACCATGGGAGGCTAAAGACTTCTCTTTTTGTTGCATCATGCTCTTTGGTAAACTATTTTGGGTTTTAAATCAGGTTGTAAGCTCGGTTGGTTGTACGTAACGGGAGGTGTGACTCATTGTCAGCCATATCCCCATTGCACTGCACTACGCTAATATGCTTGTTTGGGTGGCAAGACAGCATGTTCAGTCTAATGATGTTTGAGATGAATTAACACTATCAAGAGCAAGTTAAGTAATATTCTCAACAATTGCATCACTCTTGGCTTTTTTGCTTCAATATAGCCTACTTGAGTAAGAATTCTGTCATGTACATGTAGTAGTCAATTTCTATTTTTTTGATTCATCATCGCTTTTCATTTACTTTAAAAAATATCAGAATTGAAATATACGTCATTGAAAAAATTCTATGAATGTCATCTTTAATCTTGTCCAGGTTTGTACCACTTCAACAGTTTAGGCGTATAGTAGCTGATGATTATATCGGCACCTAAAATCATACAACCATAAGTACAATATAGAAACACAACAGTACTATTTACCAGCACGTCTCATTGACTCTATACTCTCCATTACAATGATCTTTAAATTAAAAGCTCCAGCAGTGCTTCCATGCCACAGCATTGCATACTCTCCGGACACTTGATAGATTGCCAATGGAAATTCAGGATGCTATTAAATGATAAATGATTAATTGTAGATGTACATGTAATAATTATAAGAAAGCATAAGGAATGATAGTGCATTTAGTGCAATTGAATATTTGCCATTTATCAATCAATAGATCAGTTAGGGGAGTCTGTGATAAACATACAATGTACTGAAGGAATTATTACTAAGTGCTCATAAATACATGTATCATTTTAGATTGAAGTAAGAAAGCTAGCCTACCACAGCCAATAAATTTAATTAACATCCCTCTTGACAACATAAGTACATGTACATGTACTAAAGGAAAAACAGTTTAGTCATAATAGTTTTCATAACTAATTAAGTAATAGCAGTACTCATAATAGTGAGGGGTGTAGTAACACACCTTCATGATGCAATCAGGGTACAGTGTATTGTGCGAAGCCTTTAATGATCAAGTGTGTCTGTTCTTACAGGCAGATGATTGTCGTCTAACTATTTTAAAAGTTAAATAACTTATTCTTTATGATAGTGTGGCTAGGGAGCAAAGCTCCTTAATGTTTTACATCCTTCCTGTAATTTTAAAACTATTACAAAACATACCTTTTCTTTTGTATCACGGACTATGTCCAAATAAGGCATACCAGGTTTCACCATAATGATATCAGCTCCCTCCTCAATATCTCTATCCTGTAACACAAAATATAAAAAGTAGCACAATAAATACCAGTGTAACGTAAATAACCATAAGGGCAATCTAAAATTAAAAATTGCTCAGAAAGAATTGATAGTGTGAACATGTAAATGTAAGCTTACATGTGCTGCTGATGTACACATGCATGTACATGTACATGTACATGTAGTTATGTGCATTTTTTGGAAAACAAATCGTTACTTTCCGTGGGAATGCAGTACAGATTACAAGAGAGGAACATGCTAATAGTATGTAATTGTAATATAGCATGAGCATTATCAACAACATAAACAATAACAATAACAATAACAAAAACAAACAAAATTTATAACCATGTATTACATAATTTGTCCTTACCACTGCTCTCTTAGCCAAGCCTCTAGCTGAAGGAGGTAACTGATAACATCTTCTATCACCAAAGGCTGGGGCTGACTTGGCAGCATCTCTAGATAATCACAATGATTAAAAATTACCAAAAATCTAGCACAATATTTATTTATTACAAAAGTGTCATAGACGAGACACAGTTCACACAAATGGAGGGGGCTCTGGTGACAAAATTAAGAGCTCCTACCCTCTTCCTCTTTAAAATAGAATTTTTTTTTTGTATTTTTATTAAAGGGAAAAAAGGAACATTATGGTCTCTCGACTTGATATGCCCGTGTCTTGCACCCTGTGTTTCTGCCCATGACGATTGTGTGAGTCTTACCTGAATGGTCCATAGAAGCTAGATGCAAACTTGGCACTGTAGCTCATTACAGCTACACTAGTAGACAGACCATTTAGCTCCAGTCCTTGTTTAATGGCTCTCACTCTATTGTCCATCATGTCTGAGGGTGCTACAACATGGGCCCCAGCTTTACCATAGGCCACAGCAATCTCAGCCAATCTCTTGATACTCTTTGGATTATCCAGTGACCCAGTATTAGTTAGGATACCTTAGAAAAAAAATATGAATCGTATAATAATGAATATTTTTGCTGATTGAGGAATCCTATTTTTGTAACAATTTTTGCAAATTTAATTTTTTTAAATTAGTATAATTTTTGAGTAAAGTATGTGGCATTTTTAAAATGAAGCACACTACATTCTAGTTTATACTTTTATCATTAAAGGCTAGTGTTGCTTACCACAGTGTCCATGATCAGTGTATGGACATAAACAGACGTCACAGGATATTAGTAATGATGGATATAATTCACGTAATCTCTTTACTGCTAGTATGACAGGATTATCAGAGCAATCTGCCGAACTACCTGTACCATCCTACAATACATAAAATGAAATTAATATACAGCATGATAACAAAAACTAAAAAGATTAACTGTGTGCAAGGCTACTGTACATTCTACTTTAACCACCAGAATACATGCCTTTCTGGGAACAAAGTACATGTATACCCTGTACTATAATAGTACAGGGACTTTGGCTTAATTTTGGAGCAAATTTAAAAATTCATAAAAAATCCAAACTTGATCGAAATTAACTCAAATTTTTCATACAACATAAGTACATGTACGTGCATCAGGAAAATATTTACAAATGGCAATTTTTCACTTTTTCATTTTTGGCAAAATTTGGCCGATGACCCTGTACTATAGTACAGGGACTTTGGCCCAATTTTGGAGCAAATTTAAAAATTCATAAAAAATCCAAACTTGATCGAAATTAGCTCAAATTTTTCGTACAACATAAGTACATGTATGTGCATCAGGAAAATTTTTTTAAATGGCAAGTTTTCACTTTTTCATTTTTGGAAAAATTTGGCCGATTACCCTGTACAGGGACTTTCACCCAATTTTTGAGCAACTTTTAAAAATTCATAAAAAATCCAATTTTTATTAGAATTAGCTCAAACTTTCTATGCAACATAAGTACATGTACATGCATCATGAAATGTAATAAAAATGGAGAAATCTTTTCTTCTCAATTTTGGCACAAATTGGCTAGAGCCCTTGCCATGTACCATTATACACAGCATCATAAAACCCAATATACCTTTTCAATTTTTTGTGGTACTCCAAAAAGCAAGACAGCACGTAATCCCTCCTTCACCAGTTCATCTAAAGCGTCTTGTAATTTATTAACACCCCATCTACAAATGTGCTAATAATAACCTTCATCAGTTTAGTAAAATGAATTTCTAAAACATCTTATCAATAATTCACTACATCTAGATTCTTTCTCTTTTCTAACTTACGTTCCCCCATAAAAATTAATAAGTATAGCTTATTGTTATTGATAATAAAATAATTACCTGTACTGTTCAGGAAGACTGGCTATTTCCTCTTTACCATCAGGGTCATCACTAATTAGCAATAATTATAAAAGTATCGGTTTTTATTACTATACTGAACTAAATTTCCTTACGTTATAAACAAAGGGTATATGAAATAATCAGTGACAGGCGCCGTGCCAGCATTACTCTGCCATACTCTAAGGACTGGATGAGAATAACCAGAGTGAAGTGCAGCCATGACCGGAGTTGGACTGATTTCAATTTGAGTGGGCGGTATCAATAGTAGACACAGTAAACACACATAGATTGCAAAATTGATTTGCATATGTACCTACATGTACTACATATCAAATCTATATACTATTATGTTGATCGTTCAGTGATAAGGAAGAGGGGTTACAACAATGCGTTTACTCCTAATCTCTTTACTTTATTCTCTACTTTATTGTGAAGGTTTTATTGTGCATAAAGAATATCAAACAATGACAAAACTATTCTAATTGTTCTAGTCTCCTAGCATTGAGTATGGTGATGCTTGCTGTTGGCCTAAAAAGAAATTCAATTCAATCAAATTCTCAATGAGTTGAAAGTAACTAAGATGATAATGAACGGCAATAATAACTTAATATCAAGTTGCTCAATTTTTTTTGTTATGACATATTTTTGATACATAATAAATGTCGTCACACTATGCAGAAAATTTAAGCTAAATTTCAATTACTAAATTTTGATTACTAAATTTTGAGCTACATGCAAGCACAAATTCAGGCAAAGAGCAATGGTATTGTAATGAAAATTGGCTCTCAATTTTTCTAATTATATCAAATGAAGCAGTTGAGGTATGCCTAATATTCTCATTATAATTTTTGTGTATGAGTTTTATGAATATAAAACTTTCACTAACCTGTCATTGTGGTCTACTTCTACTAAACTCATTTTTTGCACCACATCCATCCCTGAACACACGCGTCCAAATATGGTGTGCTTTCCTACATGTAAGGATAATAGTTAATAATTTAATAATAATAATTAGTAGAGACTCTTACCATCTAACCACTGAGTTGGAGCTAGTGTAATAAAGAATTGACTTCCATTTGTATTTGGGCCACTATACATGTACACAATGATAATAATGTATTATATGCAAGTATATGTATATGTACATGTACATGCATGCAATAGGTAAATTACCATATAGCAGTTTTTTTCGAGGATAGCAAATTTTGTAAATTTCACGGTTTTTTCAAGATTCACAAAATTAAATTCTTAAAAATTAATTTAATACGGTGCAAAATGGCAGAATAGTGGGAATTCATAACAATTAATTTCATGAAAATTATCCCTAAAAAAACCACTACACAGTATACACTCCACAGAAGCAATACAGTACATGTACATGTACGTGTACGGAATCTTCAAAATAAAGGTTAAAATAATCTTTCTGATATAGTAATTAATTACACATAGTTACACACACACACACACACACACACACACACACACACACACACACACACACACTACATGTACCTATTGGCCATTGAAAGTACACCAGCTCCTGTGTGCTTCAAGTCACTGGATATCTCATCCTCAAAATGACCCCTAGCAACATGATTAAGGACAAATAATAAAGACATTACATCCACAGTAAATTGTACTAAGCTACATGCATGTAATGTACTACAGGGTTTTCCCATAAAGCATGCCAAGTGAGCTAAAAGCACACTTCACAAGCCGAAGAGCCTTAATGAATATCAAGTACATTAATGAATAGCATA